GGGAGGGGGAGGGATAGGGAGCGGAAAGGGAAGGAGAGGTAGGTGAAGGGAGGGAGAGACGGGAGGGTGAGGGAAGGGAGGGAGAAAGAGAGGGGAGGGTGAGGGAAGGGAGGGAGAGAGAGAGGGGAGGGTGAGGGAAGGGAGGGAGAGAGAGAGAGGTGGGTGAGGGAAGGGAGGGAGAGGGAGAGGGGGAGGGAAGGTAGGGAGAGAGAGGTGGGTGAGGGAAGGGAGAGAGAGGGGGAGGGTGAGGGAAGGGAGAGGGGGAGGGTGAGGGAAGATAGGGAGACGGGGAGGGAAGGGAAGGGAGAGAGGTGGTGAGGGAAGGGAGAGAGGGGAGGGGGAGGGAAAGGAGGGAGAGGGGGAGGGGGAGGGAAGGGAGCAGAGAGAGGTGTTGTGAGGGAAGAGTGAGGGAAGGGAGAGTGAGAGAAGGGAGGGAGAGGGGGAGGGTGAGGGAAGGGAAGGAAAGGCGGGAGAGGTGGGTGAAGGAAGGGAGGGAGATAGGGGTGGGTGAGGGAAGAGAGGAGAGAGGGAAGGGTGAGGGAAGGGAGGAGAGAGGGGAGGATGAGGAAGGGAGGGAGAGAGAGAGAGATGGGTGAGGGAAGGGAGGGTGAGGAAAGGGAGGGAGAGGGGGGAGGGTGAGGGAAGGGAAGGAAAGGAGAGAGAGATGGGGAAGGAAGGGAGATAGGGGTGGGTGAGGGAAGAGAGGAGAGAGAGGAAGGGTGGGGAAGGGAGGGAGAGAGGGGAGGGTGAGGGAAGGTAGAGAGGGGAGGGTGAGGGAAGAGAGGGGAGAGAGGGTGAGGGTGAGGGAAGGGAGAGAGGGCAGGGTGAGGGAAGGGAAGGAGAGAGGGGAGGGTGAGGGAAGGGATGGAGATAGGGGTGGGTGAGGGAAGGAGAGAGAGAGGAGAGAGAGGGAGGGTGAGGAAGTTAGAGGGGGAGGGTGAGGGAAGGGAGGGAGAGGGGAGGGGAGGGAAGGGAGGAGAGGAGGGAGGGTGAGGGAAGGGAGGGAGATAGGGGTGGGTGAGGGAAGGGAGGTAGAGACGGGAGGGTGAGGGAAGGGAGTGAGAGAGAGGTGGGGTGGGGAAGAGGAGGAGAGAGAGGGGGAGGGGGAGGGAAGGAAGAGCGGGGGGGTATAGGGAGGGAGGAGAGTGGGGTGGGTAGGGAAGGGAGAGAGAGTGGGGGGGTGAGGGAAGGGAGGGAGAGTGGGGAGGGTAAGGGAAGGGAGGGAGAGTGGGATGGGTAGGGAAGGGAGAGAGAGTGGGGAGGGTGAGGGAAGAGAGAGTGGGATGGGTAAGGAAAGGGAGAGAGAGGGGATGGGTAAGGAAAGGGAGGGGAGAGTGGGATGGGTAAGGGAAGAGAGAGAGAGAGTGGGGTGGGTAAGGGAAGAGAGAGAGAGTGGGGTGGGTAAGGGAAGGGAGGGAGAGTGGGGTGGGTAAGGGAAGAGAGAGAGAGAGTGGGGTGGGTAAGGGAAGGGAGAGAGAGTGGGGTGGGTAAGGGAAGGGAGAGAGAGTGGGGTGGGTAAGGGAAGGGAGAGAGAGTGGGGTGGGTAAGGGAAGGGAGAGAGAGTGGGGTGGGGTAAGGGAAGGGAGGGAGAGTGGGGTGGGTAAGGGAAGAGAGAGAGAGTGGGGTGGGTAAGGGAAGGGAGAGAGAGTGGGGAGGGTGAGGGAAGAGAGAGTGGGATGGGTAAGGGAAGAGAGAGAGAGTGGGGTGGGTAAGGGAAGGGAGAGAGAGTGGGGAGGGTGAGGGAAGAGAGAGTGGGATGGGTAAGGGAAGGGAGAGAGAGTGGGGTGGGTAAGGGAAGGGAGAGAGAGTGGGATGGGTAAGGGAAGGGAGAGAGAGTGGGGTGGGTAAGGGAAGGGAGGGATGAAGACGGCAGTCAGGTAAGGCAGTTAACAGAACATACCTGTTGGCTGCTATCACTGTTATTTCCCTCAGGCACCCTGGTTGAGGCGGCCGTCCTCGCCACACACACCCACAACATAATATTTTGTCCTGGCAGCCTGGTGAGGCTTCCAATGGTTGCTCAGAGGACATCCATGGACGCCCAAGGGACACCTTCTCCTCCAACCTCAGCAAGAACGGTCCACAGGTACACGGTAAACCACAAAACTCGCACTTTATTATTATTATTATTATTATTATTATTATTATTATTATTATTATTAATAGTAGTAGTATTATTGTTATTATTAATAGTAGTAGTATTTATATTATTTTTATTTTATTAATATTGTTATTGTTTATATTATTATTTTTATTTTTATTATAATAATTGTTATTATTGTTGTTATTGATGTAGTTGTTGTTGTTGTTAGCATCACATCTAACTCAAGGAAAGGTGACCCAGAGAAAGAGTATAGGCTAGGTGGACAAAAACTGCAATCCTCACTCAAGGAGAATGATCTTGGGGTGACCATAACACCGAGCACGTCTCTGGAGGCACATATCAACCAGATAACTGCTGCAGCTTAGGTGCGCCTGGCAAACCTGAGAATAGCGTTCCGATACCTTTATAAGGAATCGTTCAAGACACTGTACACTGTGTGCGTCAGGCACATTCTGGAGTATGCAGCAACAGTTTGGAACCCACACCTGGTTAAGCACGTCAAGAAGCTAGAAAAAGTACAAAGGTTTGCAACAAGGCTAGTTCCAGAGCTCGAGGGAATGTCCTACGATGAAAGGTTGAGGGAAATCTGACTGACGACACTGGAGGACAGAAGGATCAGGGGAGACATGATATCGACATACAAGATACTGCGTGGAATAGATAAGGTAGACAGAGATAGGATGTTTCAGAGAGGGGACACAGAAACAAGGGGTCACAATTGGAAGTTGAAGACTCACACGAGTCACAGGAATGTTAGGAAGTGTTTATTCAGTCACAGAGTCGTCAGGAAGTGGAATGGCCTAGCAAGTGACGTAGTGGAGGCAGGAACCGTACATAGTTTTAAGACGAGGTATGACAAAGCTCAGGAAGCAGAGAGAGAGAGAACCTAGTAGCGATCAGTGAAGAGGCGGGGCCAGGAGCTGAGTCTTTACCCCTGCAACCACAATTAGGCGAGTACAATTAGGTGAGTACACACACACACACACACACACACACACACACACACACACACACACACACACACACACACAGGCCTAGCAGTGTATGAGCAGATGTGATGGAAGTTCTGATAGACGATTGTCTAGTAATTAGTATAAATAACAATGACAATTTAGCCGTCCACGTGTCTCTAATGATGTCAATATTGCAAACTTGCAATTATGCATAAAATGACTTTGAGATGATGGGAAATTATTAAAGTGCTGAAATGTCAATCACTACCATGAGACATTTCTCAGTTATTGAATATTTGTCAAAATATTTCGTGTTTGTCTCAACAACCGACGCGCTCTTGCCTTTTGCCAGATGTGTTGTCTGTGTAATAGTTTCTGCCAGCAAACACCATTCTGGGATGTGTGCTTGGATAGCACTCTTTCCTCCAGTCATTGTTGCTAACATCCTGCCCTAAGGACGATGTTGATGTGAGCTTTGACGTCGGGGTGATGTGTAGTGATGTCAGTGCATAGTGGGTCAAAGGATGTCACAGCTGATGTTAGTTGTGGGGAAAGTCCCGCCAATGCCACTCTTCTCTAGGTGCTTGACGGACTGTCACGGCAGTGATCACTCGTGAACTCTCTTCCGTCTATTGATTATCATGCTTCTACATTACTGACTGCGTCGTCATGGTCATTATCATTATTATTATTATCATCGACACTGTCATTAATCATCTTTATCGTGATCACCATCATTATTATCGTCGTTGTTATCGGTTAGAAAATTCACTAAACCCACGATGAAGTGTCTGGTAAGTTTAAGATTAGAAAATATGTTAGCAAAATTATTTATTTCTTCTCTGAAAGCGTCTCTGCCGCATCGTCAATAATCTGTCAAGAAGCAGCCAATAAACACTCACTGTTTCATCTATAAAACCGTCTTTGTTTGTGGCTTCCGGCACAAATTCTCGTCTTCCAAAAAGAAAAAAAAATTGAGACGACTCCCTACCTGTCTCAGTTGCGTACTAGAACAAGCAAGGATTCCAGGATGCCATTTCGAATACAGTGTGTATACATCAGTGTATTTGTTACTTCTTCGTGGTAATTTTGCACGCTTCCCCTCGTGGAACAACGTAAGCTATTAAATGTATGGGGAAAATAGAACAAGGTGATGCCTAAAAGAATGTGTTAAAGAAAAGCAAAATATCAGCGGGCAGAATCAGGAAGTATTGTAATGTATTTTCTTCCGAAACTTATCTGAAAACATGGACCAGTGCCTGGACGAATGATGCCGTGACCGCATAAATCAGTCGCCACAACTGGTCACAACACCTCCCTTCATCTGCTCTGATGTAGCATATAAATTCTGCTGTTGTCAACCATAGAAAATAGCGCACGATTAAAATCTTAACGCGATTACAAACCAGGGTACGGGTGGGGTTAGAATCCATGGTGAGTCGTAAAACTCCAGGCCAGTGCGTACTGAAGTACTGGCCTGGAGTTTCACGGCTCATTTGCCATGGGTTCTAATCCAACCCGTACCATGGTTTGCTTATATCTCAGTCGTGCTAATAACTACGTTGTTACTGAACCTTAAACAAGAAAACAGGAGGTTCATCAGAGTGACAACGGTTATCCAACCTTCACAGTTATCCTAATATAAATAATGGAAGAATTACCGACAAAATGTTAGGTAAATGGACACAGATGCAACTACTGTGACATTTTATTGTGGCAACGTTTCGCTCCTGGAGAGCGAGACGTTGCCACAGTAAAATGTCACAATTAGTTGCATCTGCGTCCATTTACATAACATATCCTAATATAGACACAAATGTTTTGCGACACCCGGAGAATGAACGCCTCATCTCACGTGTCAAATATTTTACATTGCAGAATAAACCTGATACAATAATGAAATTCACAGTTGAAGAAAATATATCCATTAAAAGTCGACTTTGTTAAATGTTCTTGTTACCACAAGAGAGGCAAGGGACACGAAGACGATGTGCACAGGTACTAACTCCCATATTGGCAGAGATGGTTCTGAAGATATGCTGGAGGGGAACGAGAGCGTCGATAGCGGTGCCTTCCGTCACGTTCTTCAGCAGCGCCTCCTCCGTCCTGCTGAACCCCAGCAGCAGGAACAGTCCCGTCGGCAGGTTGTACTCCTCTGTAACAGCATTCACAGAATGTGATATATATCTCCGCATCTCTTTATTTTCACAACGCACAATATGGAAATGAAACATAAGCTGCATTTGGGATAGCCCTGGGCCATTAACAAGGCCATGATGGATGAAAACACCATCCAATTTTAATTTGCAGTCTGTGGGTTAATTATAAATTGCTACAATAATGATACTGCTAATTTACCTTTTCTCTACTTTATCTTACATATATGGAATCTACAGGAATTATAATGGTTCAAACAACTATATACAAGCTCAAAGTGTTTACCCTCTTCCCTTTCATTCCAAAATCTGACTCTAGCAAGATACATACAAGGGGAATTTAGAGGCAGCTGTTAACCACGGCTGTTTTACGATGATTCCTTTAAGAACATATATAATTTGTTAGAAGTCCAGAGTGCGATTCAGTGATGGAATAATTGATCACTGACTGAAGAGTGAGGAATAATTGATCAATAATTGAGTGATGCCCTTTAGAAGGACATAGAATACGCCTGCTGATGGATACATATTTTATGATATAATTGTTATCTTCTGATTAGCTGATCTATCGAATAAGTGACCTGACTGGCAACCTGACTGGTAACCTGACTGGCTAGAGGAAGGGCCACGATTAATCAATAAATAACCAAAACTGGCTAAAAGTTCTCTCTCTCTCGCAACACACACACACATAACAGCTTACATTAAAACTAAAAAATGTCTAGTGTTTGTATCTTTGTCCGTTTATGACACAATTTTGTCAGTCACACAGACTCACATGAAATTAAACAGTATAGTAATTTCTTGTGGAAAGATATGTAAAAAAAATGCAGTGATTGAAAACGATGAACGTTAACTATAATTGCTTGTCACTCTTCGTTTCTACCTTTTGTGTTAGAGCTGAGAGAAAAGTGAACACATAAACCATATAATAATGATGGGCTGCCTTTACGCTGCTCAGGCCTCGTCCTCATCGTTGGAGAGCTGCATCGAAACGTCAGAACATGAACAGAGCTTCAATTGATCATCACTTTAGCTATTTAGTCATTGAAAACTTAGCATCTGGGTATTTCTGTTACCTAGATCGTTTATGCCAGATCTCACTCTCCCTTTTCCTTACTCAACGTAAACTGCTTTGGGAAATTATCATTGGTATCATTCCTGTAAGCCTGTTCTCTGAGGACCATGATTTGGTCTGGTTATTCTCCGTTTACTGTTTCATTCAGCTCAGTGTTCGAGTTTAATGTCTGGTCGACGCTCGTGAACTACTTTGGTTACTTCTGAATTTCTTGTGGTTAACCGTAGGTAGGATGGGATATGGGTAGGTGGTTGCGCATAGACTGGAGTGTGGCGATGAGGAGTCGGTGGCTGTCGTTGGGTAGGAGTTGCGAAGGATTAGTGCCTGGGTATGTGCAGGCGTTTGGAGAGAGGGGATGGGTAGGACTGTGAAGGGAGTGAGTGGTTAAGAATTTGTAGAGATGAGGAAGAGAATGTGGTTTGGGCATGGGTAGGAGTACTGGGGTGGATAGCGTGCGAAATGGGGAACTGATAGGTTCCCCATGAAAAGATTAAGTTTCTTGCTTGAGGCGAGATGTTTAAGTCATGATTCTCCAACCTCTTCTGCGCTTCTTATCTCTCTATGATGAAGTTTGTCCTAATCTGACTCTTAGTTTTAGGACTGGTTCCCAAGGCTTCGAGCCCTTAATTGTACCTGGGTGTTAGTTGATGGATGTGGGTCGCATCCTGGGATACAAAATTCACCTAAGTTGCCCGAATTGCTCTGCATAAGCATTGGCTTTCTATATAGTATGTCAGTGATGTCAGCTAGGTCTATATAAACTATATCATTATTATTAATTATTGTTATTATTACTATTATTATTATTATTATAGTGTAGCGATTTGTCCTAGTTTCCATGTGGGTACTTGCTTACCTCCACTCCTGTACTCTGCGATAAACTGTGAATTCTTAAGTAGTACATTCTTCAAACACAACCTTAATAATCCAGTCTTCTTATCTGTTGTCATTAAATTTACTTAAAAACGCTTAACAGACATGGGTTATACTGAGCCTATGGAATAGTAAGTAGGAGAGAGTGTTTAATGTGAGACAGGGGAAGATAGCTCCAGGTTCTTCATCCAGGACACCTTCTCTAACATCAAAGCACCCCTTGCCTTGAAGAATCCTTGGCTGTCACATCTTCCAAGACTGAAAGAGAATTCGATATGTTATGGTGCTTCCTGGATGCCTGGTTATCTTGGTGGACCTTGTGTGTTCTTAATATCTTTCCTTCCGTCGCATGCTTCTTTCCTTTCTTCAGTCATAATATAATCATTACTTTTTCTTCAACATATTTGCCTAGAGTTTTCCATCTTAGCAGCAGCAGTAGCAGCAACAGCAGTAGTAGTAATAGTAGTAGTAGCAGCAGCAGCAGCAGCAGCAGCATAGCAGCAGCAGCTGCTGCAGTAGTAGTAGTAGTAGTAGTAGCAGCAGCATAGCAGCAGCAGCAGCTGCGGGAGTAGTAGTAGTAGTAGTAGTAGCAGCAACAGCAGCAGCAGCAGTAGTAGTAGCAGCAGCAGTAGTAGTAACAACAACAGTAGTAGCAGCAGCAGCTGCAATAGTAGTAGCAGCAGCAGCATAGCGGCAGCAGCATAGCGGCAGCAGCATAGCGGCAGCAGCATAGCAGCAGCAGCATAGCAGCAGCAGTAGTAGTGACAGCAGTAGCAGCAGCAGCTGCTGCTGCAGTAGTAGTAGTAGTAGCAGCAGCAACAGCAGCATAGCAGCAGCAGCAGCTGCAGTAGTAGTAGTAGTAGTAGCAGCAGCAGCAGCAATAGTATCAGCAGCAGGAGCAGCAGCAGCAGCAGTAGTAACAGCAGCAGCTGCAGTAGTAGTAGTAGCAGCAGCAGCTGCAGTAGTAGTGGCAGCAGCAGCTGCAGTAGTAGTAGTAGCAGCAGCAGCTGCAGTAGTAGTAGCAGCAGCAGCTGCAGTAGTAGTAGCAGCAGCAGCTGCAGTAGTAGTAGCAGCAGCTGCAGTAGTAGTAGTAGCAGCAGCAGCAGCTGCAGCAGTACTAGCAGCAGCAGCTGCAGTAGTAGTAGCAGCAGCAGCTGCAGTAGTAGCAGCAGCAGCTGCAGTAGTAGTAGCAGCAGCAGCTGCAGTAGTAGTAGCAGCAGCAGCTGCAGTAGTAGTAGCAGCAGCTGCAGTAGTAGTAGTAGCGGCAGCAGCTGCAGCAGTACTAGCAGCAGCAGCTGCAGTAGTAGTAGCAGCAGCAGCTGCAGTAGTAGTAGCAGCAGCAGCTGCAGTAGTAGCAGCAGCAGCAGCTGCAGTAGTAGTAGCAGCAGCAGCTGCAGTAGTAGTAGCAGCAGCAGCGAAAAGGTGTCTCTCACCGACAGAAGTGAAACTGAAGAAATTTTAATTTTTATTCCTCTTTCGCATAGCATAGCTCCAATTTTCTCTGAAAGTAGAATAACTGAATCAGTAACCAGTGTTTAGCGCTTTGTTCAGCACGAAACGAGCTAGCGATTATATGTGCATTGAAGAGGAGGTACCACTTGATTTAAATAAAACTCGTGTTTGTCATGAATTCTTGGATAAGAAATCGTCGTTTATGATCGACTTTCACCAACCACTGGACTACGTATTCAACTGAAAAATCACTGAAAATGGGTATTTTCCCCAGCTGATTTCTCCCACTAAAAGTTGATAATAACGTTAATGTAAATTCTTAATTGTATTCTTTTCTCTTTCTAATTCAGTAAAGAAAACATAGTGTCACAACAGAAATTCTCACGCAGTTCGCTTCTCAAGTTGAACAAACATCGAAATTTGGCGAAACATCCCCTCAAATACCATGGTTTCCTGGGTGGTTCCTATGATATTTCAGCGAAACAAACGGTTAATAACATAATTTATTTCATGAGACTATCAGATTCAAAAGGAATTGGATCTCTATCTTATATAGAAGAAAAGTTATTAGCCTCTCAAAAGCATCTGGTCGTGTCGGGTCGCTCATTTGTCACACTAACTACCAGTAAGATGTTGCTCCGCTCGCTCGTAATAATGCTTCCTCGTGCCCACTTCAGCAATCACCCTCCTTCATTAGTCTTTCCTTGGTCAGAGCAGGGAAGCGGCGAAGGTGATCCGCCACGAGGAGAAGATGCTACTGTTTCTGCTCCTCGTCCGACGCGTTGAAGGTCTCAACTATGGAAACAGCTCTTTCTGCTGCGTCATCACGACCTTCAAAGAGCCCGTAGACTTCTTCATTTCCAGGAACGTCGTTTTCGTCTCCCACATTTTGGGATCTTCATTCAAGAAGGAAGATTTTTCCTTCCCCTTCCTCTGCTCAGCAATGACGCTAAACATCTTCAGCATCCTCTTAGTCACAAACTCCTACAGTCCGACTCCGATCTCTGGCACACCTTGCAAGCGACAGGGGCACCCTGGTTTCTTTTCCAGTTCGAGGTAGGTCACCATCTTGCGCTTTGTCGTAATGTCTACTTACTCGTCGAAGAACGCGAATCCAACCAGGTGCACCTCCAAATACCAGAGATGGCGTGCAAAGGTGATGGAGAAGAGAGGATTGTAGAGGAGAGAGAGAGATTTTGGAAAATGTTAAGCGAATGTATAGGAACCTTTGAATCAAGTGAATAATTGTGGTTGGGGACCTAAATGCTAAAGTAGGAGAAACATGTAGAGAGGGTGTGGTAGGTAAGTAGGGTCCCAGGTGTAAATGATAATGGGAGCCCTTTGATTGAACTTTGTATAGAAAGGGAATTAGTTATAGGTAATACGTATTTAAGAAAAAGATGATAAATAAGTATACAAGCTATGATGTAGGGCGAAATGACAGTAGTTTGTAGGACTGTGTATTGGTAGATAAAAGACTATTGAGTAGACTTCAGGATGTACATCACTATAAACATGTACATGTTTATAGTGATGCAAGGAGGGAAGAGTATATGGAGAGAAAAAGAGAGGTTAAGAGAGTTCTGAAGCAATGTA